TATATATATATATATATATATATATATATATATATATATATATATCCATGTAAGCAACTGGTCGGCAAAACACATATTTTATCAAACTAATTAAAAAAACTGATAACCAAGACAAAAGTTTCACAATCACTTGCATATATTCTAGACATTTTTTTTAATCTTTTGGCCTTCCAACATAAATTTAGTATCACAACTATCAATCGGTATCACATAAAGTTTGATTTTTTATATATATAATTCTTGAGTTGATATTGGAATATTTTGAGTTCAAATCAAGTGGGTGAATAGTGCAAAGGTATATATGTGCATATATAAGTTATAAACCTTGAAAATTAAGACATCATATCTACCATTAGAGTTACACATTTACAGATGCACAATAAAAAAAAGATATATATATATATATATATATGTATAAATGCGAGAGTGAGACCACAAAGGAGCTTCTGAAAATGGCAGTGATGGTCCCTTCTCATTCCACTTTTTGTCCTTTTGGTGTCAATCTCTCGCCGTTCCTTTCTTCTTCTTCTTCTTCTTCTTCTTCTCTTTATTGTCATCTTCTCTTTGTTTATTTGTTTATATATTAGTCTCATAATTAATTGTTTCGCTTTTGTGTTAGTTTTGTTTTCTTTTCTTCTTTGCCTTTTTAAGCACAATGTTTTTGCAACTTAAGTGTGCTTTGTCTAAGTGGTGTGACCACAAGTTCACTATGTTTTCTGCTTTCCCTTTGGGATTTGCCCCTTAGGCCTTATGTTATAATATATATATATGTATGTATGTATTCTGTATTTGTTTTCGTGCATGGGACCTTTGGAAATCTAGGCATGACATGTTATATATATAAAGAGAGATGAATGAATTCTGAAGGGCTCGTATGTGTGTATAGGCTGACCTGATTTCTGGACAACCCAGTCTGTCGAGCCAAGAGGTGCTTATCTGCATCGCTTGGATACCTGAGAAAGAGACCAGAAAATGACATTTCAATATATATTTTTTAATTTAATTTCAATATATATGCATACTGGGAAATGATAATCATATATATACAACAAAAATGCAGACTTTCTCCTCCTTTTTCTTGCAAGAGCGTGAGAATCTAAGAGACAAAAGAAAAGCTGAGCACAGAACATATAGAAGCAGTCTTTGTGTATATATATGTGTGTATATATATATATATATTGTCCCTTATCGTTTTATTTATTTTATTTTTCCATGGGGAGACAACATCCCAAGGACACTGCGTCACTGACAGCTGAACCTTTCTTTGTTATTCTGCTTATATGACTCTTTAATGGTCAGACGAAAAAATAAAACACAAGGGGGAAATAAAGAAGGGTTTGCTTTCATTAGACAGAGACAGTGAAATGAAACCTAAGGATGTTATTATGATCCCAAAGCACTAAAAGCTTCGTGTCATCACTCTGCAATCACCTTTATTTATTAATTATTTATAGATTTCCATGCAAACACCCGCATTTATATCATCTCTCAAAAAAAAAAAAAAAAGAACATCATAGATATGCATACACATAATAGTTTATAGGAAAATGTTGTTCTTAACATTGTTCTTTAATTACAAGGCCCTTATATGTGCAACTCTATGCATCAATAAAGATTTTGGAAACAATAATGAGTATATATGTTGATTATAATATATATATATATATATATATATATGTTCCGTGTATAGATTGTTTCTAGACTATGTCATGAAGATTTTCAAGAATATGGATGATTAAGAAGTGGGAGAAAATTAATGGACTTACGGGTGAAGAAAATGCTCGAAAAGCCAAGCTCTGAGGATATTGACGGAGCGTTCGGGCAAACCGCGTTGGGGCCTCCACGCTTCCTGCTCCATCATGCCCATCTGGTGAAACGCGCGTTGCTGACGCAAACTCTGCTCGAGCAAACGCAGTCGCGGGGTCTCGCCCTTTGTTAAGCCCGAAGACGAGCCGGCAACGTCCTTCTCCCCGAGCTGTGAGATCGAAGGATGCCTTAGCTGCCCGGAAATCGCGTCCTTTAGGCACCTGAAGTGCCTGGACATGGCCTTTTGGGCCAATGCCGTGTACGGAACGGCCGCTCCGTAACCCATGACTAGGTCGAACGAGTTGACCACCATCTGCATTTGTTCACAGTAGTGGCTGTACCGTCGGTCCACCTGCCAATACCACATTAAGCCAAGAAATGACCGAAGACATGTTACAAACTCGTGTATGTTTTCACGTGATTAATGTTATGTGGTGCAGACTTTTGTCACGGCCGGAGACGTAACCTGCATACTAGTTCCAGTTATGCACGGGACTAATAAATAATTAAAATACATAAATGAATGTGAATTTTCAAGTGGAAGAAACAAAGCGGAGAAAGTTCCGTAATTAAACCAGTGAGGGAATCATTTAAAACGATTAAGAAAAAAAAATTAGGGAGCACGGAATATACCACAAGTGTCCGTTTTCCTGCAATAGCATTAGTACATATATACATTTAAGTAATTTAATTAACACCATATATGCTATCTCATATAGAACGTAAAAATAAAGGTGAAATAGTATTAGAGAAAAGATAAGGTCAACTACGAAATACATACAATTATTATATATATATATATATATGTTTATGTGTGTGAATAAAGAATGAAATAGCTTGAAGGACCGGCTTTGGTACGTAAGGAAGGTAGCTTATATGGAGAAGGAAACGCCAAATTCTGGTCGAAGACTTATCACTAAACGTAATTTCTTATGCTTTTGATTAATGGATGCCACCAAACGCCAAGAACAAACATATATATATATATATATATATATATATATATATATATATAATATATATATATATA